CAAAATCTGAAACATTATATCGTAACAAATAAATTATATTGCAAAATATCAATTAAGCGCATTTAGAGTTATTTTGTTATCATTATCTTCCTTACCAATGCTCGACGTACTGTTTAAAGAATTGCGTGTTATATATATACAGTAATGGACAAAAAGATATAGAAAAATATGAATATTTACCTAAATACGTTTAGGAAACGAATTCATACTTCATTGCTCTATAAACAAATGCGTTATTAGTAGAAACATTTAATTCCTTGCTTTTACATTATCTGCAATGAACACAATACATGTCTGAATATAAGCACTCTTTATAAGCGACAAAAATATGTAGATAAATTCTTTTCAACATTAGTTTAGTACAGTTTCGTGTCAGAAGAGGATTCGTTAGTGTTTATCAAGTATTGTGGAATAAGTTGAGTAATTTTAAGACCATGCCGCGTGGTCCAGAAGTTTCTTTCGATGTGAAAACTAAGATCATTGAGTTATACAAAGATGGTCAACGTCAAGTCGACATTGCCAAGAATTTGAAGCTGAAGCGTAAAGCAGTTTGGGCAATATTGAACAAATATAAACAAAAAGGTATCTTGGAAGCATCTAAGAGAAGTGGTCGGCCTAGAAAACCAAATGCTAGATCAGTTAGATTAATAAAAGTAATTTCGTCCAAATATCCGTTTAGAACCATAAGACAAATAAAAACCGAAATCGAGACAAAATGAATTGCCAGTGTTTCAACGAAAACTATAAGTAGAAGATTAAATCATTTGAAGTAATTTGCACGTCGCCCGAGTAAGAAGCCGCTAATCTCGAGGAAAAACCGTAAGAACCGATTACAATTTGCACGGTTGCATCTTGATTGGAGTATCTGTGACTGGAAGAGGGTTTGTTTCAGTGAAGAATCCAAGTTCAATATGTTTGGATAAGATGGAGTTCATTACGTTAGACGTCCTAGTGGACAAAGGTTGAACCCCAAGTACACTTTGCCCACTGTCAAACATGGAGGCGGGTCTGTTATGGTTTGGGGGTGCTTTTCGAGGTTTTGGATGGGACCTTTACATAGAATAGATCGCATTATAGATAAGTTTGTATACACAGACATACAAAAGCATGTCATGTTACCCTATATGGTAGACAATATGCCCTTAAGATCAATCTTCCAGCAAGATAATGACCCGAGCACACTTCAAATATCGCAAAGAAATTCTTTCTGGATGAAAAAATACCAGTTCTCAAATGACCTTCACAGGCTCTCGATATAAATCCCATTGAAAATCTATGGGGATACTTAGATAAGCAAGTACAAGATAAAAATTATTCAAACAAGGATTAACTTTTTGCCGCTTTATAGCAAAAGTGGAGACAGATTGATGAATCTTATATCAAGAAACTTTTACAATCTTTGCCTAGGATTAACTTTTTGTCGCTTTAGAGCAAAAGTGGAGACAGTCTGATGAATCTTATATCAAGAAACTTTTACAATCTTTGCCTAGACGATGCCAGGCGGTGATTGATAATAATGGTTATGCTACAAAATATTAACACAAACATGGTTGGTTTTTTATAATTCAATGAACTTCGTTTTTCTATAACTGTTTTGCTTTGTCTATATATTTTTGTCCTTCATAGTTCCATTTTTTTTCAATTAATTTTTCATTGAAGGAAGTCTAATGAATTTATTTATGTATAAGTGAGTATTATTCTATAACAAATTATGTATACAGGTGGGTGTATTAATAAAACAAGTTAAAAAAGAAATACAGCAGAATATTAATTTGTCTATATACTTTTGTCCATATGCAGATATATATACGAGTATATATATATATATAGGTGAAAAATTAAAGCTTCCGCCTTTTGTTGGGTACTTCGACAAAATTTAAGCAAAGAGGACTCTTTATACTTTTTTTAATTCTCTCTAGCTTTCAATGGACTTTGCCATCATCATCAGGAGCTGCAATTACAATGATAACAGTAGCAACAAAAGTGTAAAATGAATTTAAATTGACTCAACTTACAGTAGTATGTGAGGATGTTGCTAATTGTTGTTTACGTATAGGATGAGGGAAACGTCCAGTAACATGGTGAGAGCTGGATAGATTGTACAATGGTCAAAATTATATAAAATATTACAAGAACAAGTTAAAAACAGATTAAAAATTATTTAAAAAACATTAGAGCATTACATCGTGAAGCCACTTGATGATTGCACAGAATAGTGGTCATGGAATAATGAGTGAGATGAAACCCTTTGACAGAAGGCCGAAGGATGTCAATGTCTGTGTTGAAAGATGGAACGAATTGTGGGCGTGTGCCAAACGTTGCCAAATCACTTCAGATGATGTGATTTTCAGAATTTTATGTAAGAATTTGTTAAACCGACCAGAGGCAGTTGAATAAACTATATTTTAATTAATGGGAATTTAAATAAACAATTATTAATAAATCGTGAGAAGAGAATTATTATATTTTGAGTGGAATGAAATTTACTGGTGGAATCGGCCAAAACACAGATTCTATTTATGCTTGTGAAGAGTCGAAATTTGGGGAGATATGTAAGTTCTCCAATTTTTTGCAGTTTAGCAAATATGAGTAAATGACACTCAGTTGTTTAACATCTGTCTTTTTGTTGATACAGTTGTTATTCATGAAGATGTGGGACATTTCCAGGAATAAACGTTTGGAAAGGTATTTTTCTTTATCAAGAACTTTGATACTTGTGTAATTCATAGAATGCCCTGTTGTGTTAACATGAGATGCTAGAGCGCATCTTTCAGGATGAAGCCTAGCATCACTTTTGTGTGATGTAATCCTTCCTTTAAGAGATCTGGAGGTCTGACCTATGTATATTTGGTTGCAGTTGTTGCAATTGATGGAGTAGACTGTGTTGGTTAAGCCAAGCAGCGGGACTTTGTCTTTCATTTTTGAAAAAATGCAGTTTATAGTGAGGACGGATTTGCAAGCAATTCGAAAGTTCAAAGGACTGCACAATCTGATCAGCTTAGGGGTCAGTTCCTTGATATAGGGCAGGGCAGCAAAACCAGGTCTGGAGTCCGGGTTGGTGCCGTTATTAGGGGTTGTGCGACTATTACCTGCATCACCAGAGTTCGGCAAAAAATTGGAAGGTGAACTAAATAAGATCTTGTTAATCAGACACTTCGGATAACCATTATTAATGAACAGTTTTGATAGTTTACGTAAATTTGGGGTGTGGAAGGTATTATCTGAGATGCTGATTACCCTTGTTTTCATCTGTTTTACCAAATTGATTTTAATCCCTAGCTTATGGTATGACCTAAAATTGAGAAACTGATCTGAGGCCATAGGTTTCTGGTACCAGTCTACCAATAAACTGTTGTTGTTGGTGCGAATGAGTCTTGTGTCTAGAAAGGGGACAGACAGGTTCTCATCTTCTTTTTCAATGGTAAATTGGATGTAAGGGTCATAGCTGTTGAATTCTCTGACAATACCATCCAGACCTATGGAAGGGAGGCATAAAATAATGTCATCTACGTATTTTTTTATGAAGAAGAGGTTATAGGGTAGTGTCGGAATAACAGTATCAAGCAGATCATCCATGACATATTCTGCCAAAATTGGTGACAGAACAGATCCCATAGGACAACCATGTGTTTGAGAATATATTTTGTTGTTGAAAGAGAAATAATTGTTATGAAAAAGGAATGTTATAATGTTGGTGAAAGATTCTATAGATATGTTGCAGTGTTGACTTATCTCATTCCAGTGTTTATTAATAGTTCTTGTACATGCATCCAGATAGATGTTGCTGAATAGCGACACCACATCAAAAGGCGGAAGCTTTAATTTTTCACCTAACTGGTCTAGACGTCAATGACCACGTCTCAAGTTATATATATCTGCAATACGTATATTTGTGGAATATGTCTTTAAAAAAAATTCGCAATTAGCATTTTGCATTTTACAAAACCTCGCAAAGCTAAGACCATACGAGAGCGAATAATGCGTTCAAGATTTTTTCACCATTCCACAAGGTGGTGAATGACAAGGTAGGAGTACAAGTTTCTTGCAAATAGTGACTTTTTTGGCCACCATTTTCAGCATCCGTCTTAGAATAAAATAACTTATAAAAGTGAAGTCGCAGACAAACGGTGACAAGAAAAACAAAAATAAAATTCCAATGTCGCATGCAAGAGTCAAGAAACCTCTTCCCCTAAGGATTGAAAAATCCAAGCAGCTTCAGCTAAGGCCAGGCCTAAAAATACTTCACAAAATCTTACATAGAATCTCGACATTTTGGTTGCATCTTCTTTAGGCATTGCTATGTCTATATCGAAGACGAACAAGAGGTCAGATCGTACGCCCATGACAGAGAGTGACAAACATAAATATGGAAGACTCATACGTTGATGAGAAAATTTTCAGGACGATGAGGCAAAACTGAAAAACGTATGTCGCTGAGCTTACACAAACGACCGCGCATGGAGGATGTATGAAATCAATCACCTGTAGAATTACTGTGCTTTGTGAGAAACCGCGGAAACATGTATATGTATAAAAACATTTCAGCTATCACGGCGACCTTTTTCAAAGTGCGGGTCAATTACCGTAACGTTCTTTCCTTGAGCTGATTACTATATTTCCTATTGAATATCGTTTTTACTATTCTTTCAAAATCCCTATGACCAACCTCGTTAAATAGATATTCTCTAGGCCTTGTCTCTATTGCATAACAATCCTTCAGTGATCCTGGATGCAGTCGTGAATCATCGTCCTGGATTACTTGTACTTTGAAAAAGGCCACCGTAGTAGCTTAGACGTCAGTAAAAACTAATTCATACATATGTGGTTTTATTTGGTCAGGAAATCATGGAGTTCTATCAGTATGCCGTAAAAAGTATATTTTTTTACAAATCGTAAAGTTCCTTAAAAAAGCACCTTTGCAGTAGGTTGACCTCAAGATGCTGGTGTCAAAATAAAAATGCAGATCCATTAGACTGTACAAATATCGAATAAGACCTTACCTGTGAATTATTTGCGCAATCTGTCACTATAACGTGGAAAGAGAGAAAAGCAAGGAAAATCACTCTATGGCGAACTGTCATTTTGTATGTATTCAGAATACGAAACACCGTTTTCCATTTTATATATCTTCCGTGATTTATCTACTGCAGTAGATTTGTTTGGGTAAGCAAATTTGGTTGATGCGACACATGTGCCTTGGATTTTTTCGCATATACACTGAGAAAAAGTGTCCGAACTACTCTTCATAAGATTTGCTCTTGATTATTCAGATTTCGTTCGAAAATCTCGCATTCGTGTTATTGAATCATTAACATCAGTTTTGTTGCATAATCACGTTTGTTGGATTCCTTTTAATATGGATTAAGAGGTTTCAGTGCAGTAACTCAGAGCAATGCGAAATGATTTTATTAAGCAATTTGCTGAAAAAAGCTTTTTCGCCTTTTTATTATTGTCGAGCGTTTTAGGTCGATTGAAGGATTCGGTTCCTAGCTAGATAGAAGGAGCTAGTCAAGGATACCGTTGTCCCATAAATCTTATTGTCTGTAGTGAGGATGAAAGTGTACTTGAAGGTCAGTTTTTTGACAGTCATCTAATTTGTATTCTTAGTGTTATTTCACAAAAGTGCGAGTGTTTGCAGATAATTATGGTATCACACGGTTTTAAGGCATGGTACTTCTTCCATAATTTGCAAATAGCGGTGCAACAGAACGCTGACACTTTCGAAGGCATTGGTAGACAAATGAGTTAAAAGTATTTTTGCGTACGCCCCTATTGTGCTCAATATTTCCCAATCCTCATGCATCATACATTTCAATCATGTTAAAAAATAATTAAGCTTATCCAACATGTACATACAGACTATTAAAGATCAGCAGGGTTTTACGTAAAAAATAATGTAAGAAACCGGCAAAATGTCAACTTTCTCACTAGATCGCTCATTCATTCATCATTTATTGGTATCTGCGCTTCTCAAACAACCAACCAGCTCAAGCTTGAGGTGCCCTGGCTTGAAGTCATAGCATAGACATTGATTTTTACTTAATCGATGAAATGCACCCAAATAAAACGGACAATCCACACGACCATCACAACTACATCCATGGCTCGGATTGTTACTTTGTGATTTTGCAACGAGTAAATACGAACTGGACAACAGCTAGTTCTAAGTTCACATATTTCAGAAAAACCTACATAATGTAAAAAAACGTATGTAATGTCAAAAAATCGGTAAAATGTCTTCATTCTGCGTCTACAACAATTGAGCATAAAGTGAATGTCAGCTAGTTCAAAGGTGACATTGTATAGGAAAACCTAGATGATGTCTACAAAATGTCGATAAAAATCTATACAAGGTGTTTCAGTTTATTGTTGCATAACTTTAAGATTCGATAGAACTTCTAAAATTAATGCATAAAGTCCTATATAAACATGGGTCGAAAAATGCGTGGCTTCCGAAATACAGGGTGTTTAAATTTACTTTCTAAAATAGTTTTTTTTAAATATTTCGATCGATATTTGATGTATAACAGTGAAAATTGGTACACAAAGGTTTTTTGGTACGACAAAACAAACCATGGGCATAGTTTTACTGTAGCCGCTAGAGGGCGCTCTCTATTGTACCTGCAGTGTATTAAAATGACCGACAAAATTTTCTTGGTGCAATTTTTGCTTTTTGAATAAAAAAACTGATTCTTCGCACTTTTCAACATAAAAAAGCTCTCTTGTGAATTTTCGTTATAGTTAGCCGTTTTTGAGATATTTCGATTTTTAAGGTTCGACGCATTTTTAATTATTTATGAAAAAATAACGTTAAAAAGTCAGTATCTCGATAATATTTAGAAGTAAGCTGTGCCTGCAAATATTTTTGAAATTGAAAGCAGAATAAGGTTGAACGTCAATTAGTTGACAGTTAGTTTTGTTGTCTGTTGAAACCTGAAACGTTTTTTTGCAATTGTGAATGCAAGAAATTTAGTTTCTTTTACCTGTTTTTTTTTGTAAGTTTTATAAAAATGCCATTTTTATTCTCCAATCAAGAGTTAGCGGATATTCATTTTGTGTATGGCTTTGTGAATGGAAACGCAGCAGAAGCAGCCAGAGAATACGCACGAAGATTTCCAAACAGACGACATCCAACTCGCTCAGTATTTGTAAGAGTGCATCGCCAAATAATTGAAAATGGTTTTGGAAATCTCCAAAGGGATCAAAACATAAATGTTCGTCAGCGCAGATTTACCCGTATGATTCTGCGTGAGTTTGATAGAGATCCGACCACAAGTGTTAGGAGAGTTACTGGTACCTTGGGAATTTCAGCAAGCCATGTTCACCGTGTTCTTACAAATGACCGTAGACGTCCTTACCATTTGCAACCTGTGCAAGGACTACAGCCAGGGGACGGAGAACGAAGAATCACATTTGGTCAGTGGACTCTTGATAGAACTGATAATAATAGGGAGTTTTTAAGTAACGTTTTATGGACCGATGATTCAGGCTTCACTAGACGTGGAGTGGTAAATTTTCATAATCAAAATATTTGGTCGCATGAAAATCTGCATGCAGTTCGGGAAAGAAATTTTCAGCATGAATTTAGTGTGAACGTGTGGATTGGTATCTACCGTAATCGACTATTTGGACGCTACCTTTTGCCTGCAAGGTTAAATGCTGCGACCTTCTTGGAATTTTTAATTGCTGAGCATGCAAATATGCGGGATGATCTTATGTTAGATCTAAGAAGATTGGCCTGGTTCCAGCTTGATGGTTGTCCGCTCATTATTCGAGAATAGTTAGAAACTGGCTGGACCAAAATTATCCAGAAAGATGGATCGGTCGTTGAGGACCAGTCGCCTGGCCTCCACGATCCCCTGACCTAAATCCATTAGATTTCTTTGTGTGAGGATTTCCAAACGAAAAAGTGTACCAGACGCCCGTAACCACAAGAGATATGCTAATAGACAGAATCAGGAATGCATGTGATGAAATAAGGCCTTATTTGAATAATGCTATACCACGTTCGATCATTCGTAGATGTGAATTGTGTATTGAACAATTGGGTTTACATTTCGATCAACTACTTTAGATTTTGTATGTTTGTCCTAACTATCCAATAGCATTTTAGTGGTAAATAATTAATTTAATTTGTTAAAAATAATATTGGAAAATTAAACAAATTAATATTCTGTTTTTTGTGTTTATTTGGAGTTAGGAATTATTGCAGTGTTTAAAAACACAATCTAAACGATCATCTCTATTACTTGTAATGGCCAAATCGAAAATGTAAAAAAAAATATTATTTTCCCATAAATAATTAAAAATGCGTCGAACCTTAAAAATCGAAATATCTCAAAAACGGCTAAGTATAACGAAAACTCACAGGAGAGCTTTTTTATGCAGAAAAGTGCGATGAATCAGTTTTTTTATTCAAAAAGCAAAAAATTGCAAAGACTTTATCAATTAATTTTAAAAGTTCTATCGAATCTTAAAGTTATGCAACAATAAATCACCCTGTATAATATTAATTATAAGGTACGTAATATGGGTCCAAGTGTTCTGCAACCAAGCATTTTTTCGAAAAAAGGTGCTAACAACAGTTTCAGTGATCAAATTAATAATTTTTCGATGGTTTACAATATAACTTGGATAATCTTAGAGGTCATTTAGAAGTTCAAATATCAAATACTATTTCTGACAGCAGAGTTTGAGATTCTATATCAATTTGCATTTTTATTCAGGAGATTAAGTTATCAGGAGTGGTTCAAACAGCGTTTGACAGGTACACGAACATCTAGATACATTTGTTTTTGGAAAAAAATCTAATAAATCTATCTTTCCATACCTTGACCAAAAACACCAATTGACCTTTTACCTTAAATGACCGCTCAAGTAAAGTCAAACAAAAGCTATCATAACTGGCAGCAGCATAAATATGCACTTTTGATATAGAATTAGAAGGTGTACACGAATCCACTTTTAAATATGGTGGTCGACGTTCAGACTTACAATCTTGAGCTAGAAGACCATCGATAAATTGTCTCTTTTATATACACAAGTTTTTTCTTTAGAACCATGCTTTGTTTTTAAGTATTTGTGGTGTTCGTGTACTTATCAGATGTTACAGGTCAGACTGATTGGACTACCCCTTAAGCTCATGTATGAAAATGCGGTATCAAATATCGAGCCTTCCATGAACCTGCTGTCAAAAATGGGGTCAAGGTCATAGCTGAGGTCATCGATAAATTGGTTTTTGATATCCTGTAGCATTTTTCGAAACCTTTTTTCCAAAATATGTGTTGTTTGCCGAGTATGTAATACATTCAATAGACAATACTTGTATATTACGATAGTAATTCTTGTATACAATGCCTCAGGCAACAGGTAAGTTAAAATTTAGATGCGCTTTCAAGTAGACACAAAAATAAATAAATCTGGCATTGCCTTGAGCAGCTAGTGGCAGTAATAGAAGTAGTGTATTTCTATCGTCAATTCGCGAATGAAATAAATAAAATATACTTATTCATAATGCCATGTTGCTTATTGATGAATATTTCTAAAAGTAGTATACTTTTCTTAGTGTATATTATAGACTTGAACACTACGAATTTAAGGTAAATTAGGTAAATAAAGATGATAACTACGAAGTAGGTTGTCAATAATTTTCCAACGTAAGTGACGCGTTGGAACGATTGTAGCCGCTATCGAGCATTCACTTCATCTTTGTACTTGAATTAAATTTTCGGCTTATAGTTATTATAGAGATTACACAGAGAACAATTTTTTAAGTAGATTGAGTTAATGGGGAATCTATCACATTTTGGAATGACGAACTGGTGGGCTGTCAAGGTTCGTCGTTCTTACTTCCCACGCTTACTGGCGAGAAAGTTTTATAATCGCGAAAAGTTAGGAAAATGGGACAAAGTTACAAATATGCCAAGGACGGAAAATCTTTGTAGTTTGATAATTTCTCAAAAGATTTTTTGGGATAAACAGTTGGGTGATGGGTGGTTGCAGAGGGGCTAATGAGGCTGTATCGACATTTTGTTAGTTCATTATTACGCTTCCAGTCCCAGTAATTCTACGCACCTGTCACACATATTTCGCACATTATAGATTTCCCCGTACATATGACCTTGAAACTCGATTTCGTGAGGTAATATACTGAGTGACAATATAAGCTAAACACCTACGTATGTTTATCCGACTTAAATAAT